CCTCTGAAATTCTGATTTGATTGGTCTGGAATACAGACTGGTCTCCAGGAATTGTATAAGCTCTGTAGGTGACTCTAATGTCCAGCTAGGGTTGAGAATTCTGCTCTCATTTCTTCAGCAGAGACTGGGCTAGGGGTGGGGAGCTCTCCTAATCCCCAGCAGGGACCCTTGAGTAAGATCATCAGATAAAATATAGGGCACCCAGGTAAATTTGAACTGCAGATAAACAATTAATATTTTATTATAAATATGTCCCCAAAATTGCATAGGTGTCCTTTTTTTGTTACTCCTGTTTTGTTTTGCTAAATCTGGCAACCCTACCCTTAGATGCTTCCATAACACAGAATGAAAAATAATGATCTGCCAGCTCCCATTTCCTAAACATTAACACTGAGACCCCAGAGGTCACCTAGGAAATCAGAAGAAAGCCAGGATAAGAACTCAGGAATCTCAACCTTACTCCACAACTCTTTTCCTTCCATCACACTTAACTGCACTAAAGACATTTATACCTTTCTCTTGGGGGGGTTATTGTCCATTGCCTGGAGGGGACTTCAAAGAGGTATGATTTCTGCCCTCTCTACTGCCCCAGTCCTCACCTCTACCCCTCTTTTTACTGTTACAGGTATCACAGAGGCTGTCCTGGAATATGGCCATGCTCAGGGCCATATTGTTAATGGCCACCTCAGAGAGGAAGTGGATTGGAAGTGGTACCAGCCAGAGACAGCTGTGAGGGAGAGCCCATAATTGGGTAACACAAAGAGAAGTGAGATTTGGCACAAGCAAACTATAGGCAAAGCATGTTGGGAGAGGACACTCGCAATTAGTTGTAAATTCTCTGGGAAAAGATCAAGGCAACAGCATAAACAGCTCAATTAAACTGTTGGCTCAATGCTCAATGTGCCATAATGGTCACAACACAGCCTTTAATCTAGGTATAGAGGATTATCTTTTGACCCATAATGAGATTCCTAAGATTAGTTGTACCTGAGGTGGAGGGAACAACAGAGCTGGCTCATTGACACAGGACAGGCTTGTATGTGTGCATGACTGGGACTTGTGTGGAAGGGGCTATCTGGACGCCGCAACTTTCCTGGAGTCCCCTCTGGATGATGGGAAGCCAGGGATGAACCTCATTCTGCTTCCTCTGCTTAAGAGACATGGTCTAGAACAGAACCCCAGAACACATCTATTTTAAAAATGTAGCAAGTCCGACAAGCTCCTAGCTCCAGACCAAAGCTAACAGACACTAGCACCACATCTGAGGCAGACAGAGATATCAAGCTTTAGTTCTCTGCCATGCTACCCTCTATGATCAACGACTCACATTCACTCATTCATTCCACAAATAGTTATCACATACCTACTAGGTGTCAGGCACTGTTCTACACACTGGAGATATGCAGTTAACAAAAAGCAAAGGTCCCTTGCCCATTATGGAGCAAGACAAAGAATAAACAAGGAAAATAGTGAACTGTGCTGTGTGTGTGAAATAGGACTGAGTAATACTCAGAAAAATAAAGCAGGGAAGAAGGAGAAAGTGTTGAGTTGGGAGAACAATTCTAGTTTTGGTGCCCAGGGGATGCCTCACTGAGCGTGTGATGTTTAAATGAAAACCTTAAGAGAGTGAAGGCTGAGCTATGGGGACAGCTAGGGGAAAGAATTTCAGGCAAAGGAGATGTAGTATAAAGGCCCCAAAGTGAGAGTGTTAAAGAAATAGTAAAGAGGCAGCCTGGCTGGAGCAGGAAAAAGGACAGTATAAAATGAAATTGGAAATTTAAGGGGACAAGATCATTTAAAACCTTACCCATCACTGGAAGGATTTTGGCATTTACTGTTAGAGAAATGGGGACTTAATGGGAGATTTGAGCAGAGGAGGGACATAAACAAATTCATTTTTAATAGGATCACTGGCTGCTGTGTCAAGACATAAGCAGGAAAATGGGTAAGAGACGCCTGCAATGATCCAGGCAAGAGATGAAGGGTATTAGACTGGGGAGGGAGCAATGGAGGTGGTGAGAAGGGCTAAAATTCTGCATATTCCTTGCTGATGCTTTGAGTTGGAAGGAAAGGTGTCAAAGATGACTGAGGGTTTTTGCTTCAGATCTTCATTGAGCATTAATGACTTCCAAATCCATACTTCTAGCCCAGACTCTTAACATTTGATGGACTGAACTGAAAGAAGTAGATGCTTCCTTTGGGCTGGTGGCACCATGTCTCCAGGCCTCCTACCAGTGGTATAGTCTACCTCCAGATAATAGGAGGATGCAGAGAAAAGAGTTGCCATGTCCCCACCTTGCTCTAAAATGAGAGTATTAGACAGGCAGAAACAGAAACAGGGCTATAACCAAACCTTCCAATAAGAAAATTGAACACAAAGTGGGGTGAGGGTCAGGGACAAGAAACTGAAAACTGCTGAGAATGGTGGGCATAGTGTTGAGTTTGTGATGTCAAGACTGGGTGCCAATCTCAGCTGTGCTTCTTGACTCAGTACCTTCCTTCACTGGTCCCAGTCTTCCCTCTGTGAAATGGAGTAGCTGGCTCTCTGAAAAAGAGAGACTGTCCAGCTCTAACCCTCTGTAGAGCTCTGATTCTTTTCCTAAAAGTCCCTGTCTCCTCAAACCATGCAACACACAAACTGCTTCTCCAACATTGTCCTTAGGAAACTTTTCTGGTTCCCTTCAGAATCTGAGTCTTGTAAGGTGTGTTTCTACTAGTTCCCAAAGAAAACACTCATGCTTTTTTGCCTGCTTGAAATAAATACTACCTTAGACCAGGTACCCCATCTATAAACTGGAAATAACACCATACTGCAGGGATGCTAAGCAGGGTTAATTATATACAGAATGTGTAGGGGGTGAGCAAATACACAAGTGCTCTGAAAGTTCTTGGCATAATACTATAGCATTACAGTCATTTTGTCTTGCAAATTATACCCCAGCCGAGGCATCACATGGAAAAGTGGGTCTGACCCCATGGCCCGCTGAAAGCAAAATGGAAAAAATAAGTTGTGAAATATAACTTCTCTTCCCAAACCTTTGGAAAAGGAAGAGATAACTCTTCCATGTGCAACCCACATGCAGGGAACAAATTTCCAGACCCTGGAGAGGACTTTCTTGTCCGAGTGGCCTGGCCTGTTGCCAGGATCTAGTTGTTCCTCCTTCCAGAGCACAGAAGCAGAGATGGAAAGGGAGGAAGCCAGACAGGATTTGTGGTTGGCTGAAAGGTGGGGCTTATGATGAGGATGCCTTGCCTTTCAGGTTTTCTATTTGGGCCTCCCTTACTTGAGGGATAATTAAGTGCTTATGTAGCAGAGTAGTGATTTAAAAGGTAATTTGAGATATTTAAGTCTAGGGATACCCAAAATAAACTTCTTAGCCCAGCGTAACTTCTGGGTCCCCCCCACGATCTGCCAGACACATTACTCTCTCTCTTATACACACACTCCCTAAATTATTTCCAATGAAATGCTAAATAAGTAGATCTCAGGCAATGAAGGGGCTGTGTAGTTGGTGATGGTGTCTGTGATTGTGGCAGGTCATATTGTGCGTTTGGAAAATTTAACTGGCTCATAGAGGATGGCAGTCTTGTCCGACCAGAGAGAGAGGGCAAATAGGTTGATCCTGAAGAACAGTCTGCAGTCAATTCCACTGCATCCCCCATATACCCCCACCCCATGTAGCTATAGGTCAGAGCACAGGCTTCAGAGTAAGACCTGAGTTGGAGTCCTGGTTCTGTGTGGCCTCAGGCACAGGAAGAAGCAAGTTTTCCAGCTCTCCATGTCCAAAGTCTGACTGAGTTTGCCCTGTACCTCCAGCATAGCCAGGGTTGTGTCCTGGCCAAAAAAGCCTCTGGCCTTGCTACTCCCACCCCCACCGCCCCTGCCCCGCCCAATAGGTCCCACTTTTCCTTTACAGGATACTGGGAAAAAATAGACTCCAAAACTATCCATCATATACAGATGGCAAGTGAAGATTACTAATGATTTGGGATACCATTAGTATATCAGCCTTTTTAGAGAATTTCTCAGATCTCAGGTCTTAGATCTCACACATTAGGGTAAATGATGTTCTGGGGCTTGCCCAGCCAAATTCAAAGGAGCAACGACTCTACTGGCAGTTACCTCATTTCCAGACAGCTCTTCTGTCTCAACCGGGCATGCTGCCTGTCAGGAAAGGCTTCACTGAGCAAGCTGTGCCCCCCTGCCTTGGCCTCAGTTTCCTCACTTTCGCTTAATAATCAAAGGCAGTAGCAGGCAGGGAACTGGCATCCAGGCCCACCTGGGTGACCTTCCTCCGGGTCTTAGGTTGGTAGTGAACAGGGATAAGTCCCGACTCCCTCAGAGGTGAAATGATAACAAACGTACCGACCTCCCCTTAGCTTAGCTCCGGGGTTGGCGAGGGGCGGGCCCCTGCCGCCTACCCAGGCCGCGTCGGTCATCCGGATTGCTCATGCACTCAGCACAGATTCCTCCGAATATCTGGCACTGGGGGCTCGAACCGGAGTCTCCGTCCCTTTAAGAAGGGGATAAACACCCTGTCCTTAAGGGATCTTCAGCACCGCATTTCCTCTGCGCAGGCCACGCCGTGAGCTAGAAATGTTTAGTGTTAATCCACCTCCGCACCTCACCCTAACAGCGGGGATCTCTGAGGTGCTCCAGCGCGCGGGCCTCAGGAGATGCGGACGGGTTTGGCCTCTTCGCGCTGCCGGCTCCTGCTAGCAACCTCTCGCCCTAGGCGGTGGCGGGCAGCGAGCAAGGCGGGGCCCGCAGCGCCGCGGGACCCTGGCGCTCTCAGGCGCGACCCGGGGGCTGGCGCCAAGGCGGCCGCGGGAGGTGGCGAGTGCTGCTGCGGAGCGGTGAGCGGGAGGAGGTCGCGAGCGCGAGGAGGGCGGGGCCTGGACCGGGGTCTGGCGGCCGGGCCCGTGGGGCGGGCGGGGCGGGGCCTGGGGGGCGGGGCGCGCGCGGGCCCGGAGGGGGCGGGGCCGTGGCGCGGGGCGGGCCCTGGCGGCCGGAGTGTGACACACGCGGCGGGTCGGGAGGCGGCGGCAGCGGCGCGGCAGGCGCCGCCGGGACGGGCACGGGCGTGCGGTCTCAGGCGGGCGCCGGCTGCCTCCCTCCGTCGCTCGCTCGCTCTCCCACCCGCTTGCTCTCTGGCTGCGGGGCCGGGCTCGCCCCGGCGCTCTCTGGAAGGAAGAAGGGGGGCCGAGGACGCTGACAAGTTCCCGCAGCAGCCGCGGATCCCGGCCAAGGCAGAGGCTGTGGCTTCGACGGGGCAGGAGGGCGCTCCGCAGCTAAGCGCACGGCTAGAACGTCGGAGGAAGGGGGCACCTGAGCCTTTCTCTCTCCGAGGAGCCGCGGGCCGGGATCCCATGAGACGCGCGCTCGCGGGGCACGAGATCCGAAGCCCGGGCGACGCGCGACGGAGGCGGAAGGCGGGGCTGCAGCCTCCGGAGCTCGTGAGCGGCCGGCAGGAGGCGGCGGAGAGAACTTGAACTTGGCGTCGGAAGCCGGCGCCCCGGACGCCCCCAGCCGGGGCAGGGGCGCCGAGGGACCTGGGCGGCAGCGCTGCCCCCCGAATGGCCGCGGCGGCGGACCGGGCTCCCGCGCCGCGGCCCTAGGCGGCCTCTCGCCATGGCCAAGTGGCTGAACAAGTACTTCAGCTTGGGCAACAGCAAGACCAAGAGCCCCCCGCAGCCGCCGCGGCCAGACTACCGCGAGCAGCGGCGCCGGGGCGAGCGGCCCTCGCAGCCCCCGCAAGCTGTGCCGCAGGCCCCCGCGGCCGCCTCGGCGTCCTGCGGAACGGCTGCCGCCTCCTGCTTCTCGGCCTCGTCGGGATCGCTGCCCGACGACAGCGGCAGTACCAGCGATCTCATCCGCGCCTACCGCGCACAGAAGGAGCGCGACTTCGAGGACCCCTACAACGGGCCCGGCTCCTCGCTCCGCAAACTGCGCGCCATGTGCCGCCTGGACTACTGCGGGGGTGGCGTGGAGCCGGGCGGCGGCCAGCGCGCCTTTTCGGCTTCGTCCGCGTCGGGCGCCGCGGGCTGCTGCTGTGCCTCCTCCGGCGCGGGCGCCGCCGCGTCCTCGTCCTCGACCTCGAGCTCCCCGCACCTCTACCGCAGCAGCAGCGAGCGGCGGCCCGCCACGCCGGCCGAGGTGCGCTACATCTCCCCCAAGCACCGGCTCATCAAGGTGGAGAGCGCAGCGGGCGGTGTGGGAGATCCCCCGGGGGTCTCCTGCTCGGGTGGCCGCACCTGGAGCCCGACAGCCTGCGGTGGCAAGAAACTGCTCAACAAGTGTGCTTCCTCGGCCGCGGAGGAGAGCGGGGCCGGCAAGAAGGACAAGGTAAGGCACCTGGCCTCTCCCGATGTTCCAGAGCCATTGTTGTGCACANGGGCCATATTGTTAATGGCCACCTCAGAGAGGAAGTGGATTGGAAGTGGTACCAGCCAGAGACAGCTGTGAGGGAGAGCCCATAATTGGGTAACACAAAGAGAAGTGAGATTTGGCACAAGCAAACTATAGGCAAAGCATGTTGGGAAAGGACACTCGCAATTAGTTGTAAATTCTCTGGGAAAAGATCAAGGCAACAGCATAAACAGCTCAATTAAACTGTTGGCTCAATGCTCAATGTGCCATAATGGTCACAACACAGCCTTTAATCTAGGTATAGAGGATTATCTTTTGACCCATAATGAGATTCCTAAGATTAGTTGTACCTGAGGTGGAGGGAACAACAGAGCTGGCTCATTGACACAGGACAGGCTTGTATGTGTGCATGACTGGGACTTGTGTGGAAGGGGCTATCTGGACGCCGCAACTTTCCTGGAGTCCCCTCTGGATGATGGGAAGCCAGGGATGAACCTCATTCTGCTTCCTCTGCTTAAGAGACATGGTCTAGAACAGAACCCCAGAACACATCTATTTTAAAAATGTAGCAAGTCCGACAAGCTCCTAGCTCCAGACCAAAGCTAACAGACACTAGCACCACATCTGAGGCAGACAGAGATATCAAGCTTTAGTTCTCTGCCATGCTACCCTCTATGATCAACGACTCACATTCACTCATTCATTCCACAAATAGTTATCACATACCTACTAGGTGTCAGGCACTGTTCTACACACTGGAGATATGCAGTTAACAAAAAGCAAAGGTCCCTTGCCCATTATGGAGCAAGACAAAGAATAAACAAGGAAAATAGTGAACTGTGCTGTGTGTGTGAAATAGGACTGAGTAATACTCAGAAAAATAAAGCAGGGAAGAAGGAGAAAGTGTTGAGTTGGGAGAACAATTCTAGTTTTGGTGCCCAGGGGATGCCTCACTGAGCGTGTGATGTTTAAATGAAAACCTTAAGAGAGTGAAGGCTGAGCTATGGGGACAGCTAGGGGAAAGAATTTCAGGCAAAGGAGATGTAGTATAAAGGCCCCAAAGTGAGAGTGTTAAAGAAATAGTAAAGAGGCAGCCTGGCTGGAGCAGGAAAAAGGACAGTATAAAATGAAATTGGAAATTTAAGGGGACAAGATCATTTAAAACCTTACCCATCACTGGAAGGATTTTGGCATTTACTGTTAGAGAAATGGGGACTTAATGGGAGATTTGAGCAGAGGAGGGACATAAACAAATTCATTTTTAATAGGATCACTGGCTGCTGTGTCAAGACATAAGCAGGAAAATGGGTAAGAGACGCCTGCAATGATCCAGGCAAGAGATGAAGGGTATTAGACTGGGGAGGGAGCAATGGAGGTGGTGAGAAGGGCTAAAATTCTGCATATTCCTTGCTGATGCTTTGAGTTGGAAGGAAAGGTGTCAAAGATGACTGAGGGTTTTTGCTTCAGATCTTCATTGAGCATTAATGACTTCCAAATCCATACTTCTAGCCCAGACTCTTAACATTTGATGGACTGAACTGAAAGAAGTAGATGCTTCCTTTGGGCTGGTGGCACCATGTCTCCAGGCCTCCTACCAGTGGTATAGTCTACCTCCAGATAATAGGAGGATGCAGAGAAAAGAGTTGCCATGTCCCCACCTTGCTCTAAAATGAGAGTATTAGACAGGCAGAAACAGAAACAGGGCTATAACCAAACCTTCCAATAAGAAAATTGAACACAAAGTGGGGTGAGGGTCAGGGACAAGAAACTGAAAACTGCTGAGAATGGTGGGCATAGTGTTGAGTTTGTGATGTCAAGACTGGGTGCCAATCTCAGCTGTGCTTCTTGACTCAGTACCTTCCTTCACTGGTCCCAGTCTTCCCTCTGTGAAATGGAGTAGCTGGCTCTCTGAAAAAGAGAGACTGTCCAGCTCTAACCCTCTGTAGAGCTCTGATTCTTTTCCTAAAAGTCCCTGTCTCCTCAAACCATGCAACACACAAACTGCTTCTCCAACATTGTCCTTAGGAAACTTTTCTGGTTCCCTTCAGAATCTGAGTCTTGTAAGGTGTGTTTCTACTAGTTCCCAAAGAAAACACTCATGCTTTTTTGCCTGCTTGAAATAAATACTACCTTAGACCAGGTACCCCATCTATAAACTGGAAATAACACCATACTGCAGGGATGCTAAGCAGGGTTAATTATATACAGAATGTGTAGGGGGTGAGCAAATACACAAGTGCTCTGAAAGTTCTTGGCATAATACTATAGCATTACAGTCATTTTGTCTTGCAAATTATACCCCAGCCGAGGCATCACATGGAAAAGTGGGTCTGACCCCATGGCCCGCTGAAAGCAAAATGGAAAAAATAAGTTGTGAAATATAACTTCTCTTCCCAAACCTTTGGAAAAGGAAGAGATAACTCTTCCATGTGCAACCCACATGCAGGGAACAAATTTCCAGACCCTGGAGAGGACTTTCTTGTCCGAGTGGCCTGGCCTGTTGCCAGGATCTAGTTGTTCCTCCTTCCAGAGCACAGAAGCAGAGATGGAAAGGGAGGAAGCCAGACAGGATTTGTGGTTGGCTGAAAGGTGGGGCTTATGATGAGGATGCCTTGCCTTTCAGGTTTTCTATTTGGGCCTCCCTTACTTGAGGGATAATTAAGTGCTTATGTAGCAGAGTAGTGATTTAAAAGGTAATTTGAGATATTTAAGTCTAGGGATACCCAAAATAAACTTCTTAGCCCAGCGTAACTTCTGGGTCCCCCCCACGATCTGCCAGACACATTACTCTCTCTCTTATACACACACTCCCTAAATTATTTCCAATGAAATGCTAAATAAGTAGATCTCAGGCAATGAAGGGGCTGTGTAGTTGGTGATGGTGTCTGTGATTGTGGCAGGTCATATTGTGCGTTTGGAAAATTTAACTGGCTCATAGAGGATGGCAGTCTTGTCCGACCAGAGAGAGAGGGCAAATAGGTTGATCCTGAAGAACAGTCTGCAGTCAATTCCACTGCATCCCCCATATACCCCCACCCCATGTAGCTATAGGTCAGAGCACAGGCTTCAGAGTAAGACCTGAGTTGGAGTCCTGGTTCTGTGTGGCCTCAGGCACAGGAAGAAGCAAGTTTTCCAGCTCTCCATGTCCAAAGTCTGACTGAGTTTGCCCTGTACCTCCAGCATAGCCAGGGTTGTGTCCTGGCCAAAAAAGCCTCTGGCCTTGCTACTCCCACCCCCACCGCCCCTGCCCCGCCCAATAGGTCCCACTTTTCCTTTACAGGATACTGGGAAAAAATAGACTCCAAAACTATCCATCATATACAGATGGCAAGTGAAGATTACTAATGATTTGGGATACCATTAGTATATCAGCCTTTTTAGAGAATTTCTCAGATCTCAGGTCTTAGATCTCACACATTAGGGTAAATGATGTTCTGGGGCTTGCCCAGCCAAATTCAAAGGAGCAACGACTCTACTGGCAGTTACCTCATTTCCAGACAGCTCTTCTGTCTCAACCGGGCATGCTGCCTGTCAGGAAAGGCTTCACTGAGCAAGCTGTGCCCCCCTGCCTTGGCCTCAGTTTCCTCACTTTCGCTTAATAATCAAAGGCAGTAGCAGGCAGGGAACTGGCATCCAGGCCCACCTGGGTGACCTTCCTCCGGGTCTTAGGTTGGTAGTGAACAGGGATAAGTCCCGACTCCCTCAGAGGTGAAATGATAACAAACGTACCGACCTCCCCTTAGCTTAGCTCCGGGGTTGGCGAGGGGCGGGCCCCTGCCGCCTACCCAGGCCGCGTCGGTCATCCGGATTGCTCATGCACTCAGCACAGATTCCTCCGAATATCTGGCACTGGGGGCTCGAACCGGAGTCTCCGTCCCTTTAAGAAGGGGATAAACACCCTGTCCTTAAGGGATCTTCAGCACCGCATTTCCTCTGCGCAGGCCACGCCGTGAGCTAGAAATGTTTAGTGTTAATCCACCTCCGCACCTCACCCTAACAGCGGGGATCTCTGAGGTGCTCCAGCGCGCGGGCCTCAGGAGATGCGGACGGGTTTGGCCTCTTCGCGCTGCCGGCTCCTGCTAGCAACCTCTCGCCCTAGGCGGTGGCGGGCAGCGAGCAAGGCGGGGCCCGCAGCGCCGCGGGACCCTGGCGCTCTCAGGCGCGACCCGGGGGCTGGCGCCAAGGCGGCCGCGGGAGGTGGCGAGTGCTGCTGCGGAGCGGTGAGCGGGAGGAGGTCGCGAGCGCGAGGAGGGCGGGGCCTGGACCGGGGTCTGGCGGCCGGGCCCGTGGGGCGGGCGGGGCGGGGCCTGGGGGGCGGGGCGCGCGCGGGCCCGGAGGGGGCGGGGCCGTGGCGCGGGGCGGGCCCTGGCGGCCGGAGTGTGACACACGCGGCGGGTCGGGAGGCGGCGGCAGCGGCGCGGCAGGCGCCGCCGGGACGGGCACGGGCGTGCGGTCTCAGGCGGGCGCCGGCTGCCTCCCTCCGTCGCTCGCTCGCTCTCCCACCCGCTTGCTCTCTGGCTGCGGGGCCGGGCTCGCCCCGGCGCTCTCTGGAAGGAAGAAGGGGGGCCGAGGACGCTGACAAGTTCCCGCAGCAGCCGCGGATCCCGGCCAAGGCAGAGGCTGTGGCTTCGACGGGGCAGGAGGGCGCTCCGCAGCTAAGCGCACGGCTAGAACGTCGGAGGAAGGGGGCACCTGAGCCTTTCTCTCTCCGAGGAGCCGCGGGCCGGGATCCCATGAGACGCGCGCTCGCGGGGCACGAGATCCGAAGCCCGGGCGACGCGCGACGGAGGCGGAAGGCGGGGCTGCAGCCTCCGGAGCTCGTGAGCGGCCGGCAGGAGGCGGCGGAGAGAACTTGAACTTGGCGTCGGAAGCCGGCGCCCCGGACGCCCCCAGCCGGGGCAGGGGCGCCGAGGGACCTGGGCGGCAGCGCTGCCCCCCGAATGGCCGCGGCGGCGGACCGGGCTCCCGCGCCGCGGCCCTAGGCGGCCTCTCGCCATGGCCAAGTGGCTGAACAAGTACTTCAGCTTGGGCAACAGCAAGACCAAGAGCCCCCCGCAGCCGCCGCGGCCAGACTACCGCGAGCAGCGGCGCCGGGGCGAGCGGCCCTCGCAGCCCCCGCAAGCTGTGCCGCAGGCCCCCGCGGCCGCCTCGGCGTCCTGCGGAACGGCTGCCGCCTCCTGCTTCTCGGCCTCGTCGGGATCGCTGCCCGACGACAGCGGCAGTACCAGCGATCTCATCCGCGCCTACCGCGCACAGAAGGAGCGCGACTTCGAGGACCCCTACAACGGGCCCGGCTCCTCGCTCCGCAAACTGCGCGCCATGTGCCGCCTGGACTACTGCGGGGGTGGCGTGGAGCCGGGCGGCGGCCAGCGCGCCTTTTCGGCTTCGTCCGCGTCGGGCGCCGCGGGCTGCTGCTGTGCCTCCTCCGGCGCGGGCGCCGCCGCGTCCTCGTCCTCGACCTCGAGCTCCCCGCACCTCTACCGCAGCAGCAGCGAGCGGCGGCCCGCCACGCCGGCCGAGGTGCGCTACATCTCCCCCAAGCACCGGCTCATCAAGGTGGAGAGCGCAGCGGGCGGTGTGGGAGATCCCCCGGGGGTCTCCTGCTCGGGTGGCCGCACCTGGAGCCCGACAGCCTGCGGTGGCAAGAAACTGCTCAACAAGTGTGCTTCCTCGGCCGCGGAGGAGAGCGGGGCCGGCAAGAAGGACAAGGTAAGGCACCTGGCCTCTCCCGATGTTCCAGAGCCATTGTTGTGCACAAGGAAACTGAGGCACAGCTCTGATTACGAGCCCCGTTTCAACTTCAGGCTAGGACCCTGGAGTCAGGGCTCCCACGCTGCTTCCCTATTCTGCCCCCTTGCACGCTCTTTCCTCTGGATCGCCGGCCTTCTGACAGTCTGTTTTGCTGCTGCTCCCAAAATGTCCCATCTCTGAGCCCACAGCCAGGTGCCCTCTTCGGAAGTAGCCTGACGAGCGCGCCCCGCCCCGCTCGTCCCGGAGACACCCAGCCGGCCCTTAACCTCCGCCCCCCAGGGGTTAAGTCAGAGTCAGAGCTGTCACGGACTTAAAGGAGAGTTTACTCTTCTCTGCCCTCCCTCCCCCAACTTCTCCCACTCTGTAGATGGGAAACTGAGGGCCAGGAAAGGACTCGCCCGCTGTTACACAGCATTCTCGGTGGCAGATCCGGACCGGCTCTCTCTAAACGTGTATAATGTAAATCCCTGGCTTGCCCCGCCCCGCCCCATCCCCAGCGCCAGGTTTCCAAATCCAGGCGGCCTATTGTACCCGAGCTGCACTGGGAACCACCCCCACGCGTGCTTTTCTGGTTGAGATGCGCTCCTCTGTCAGTTCCTCCCGTCGCGCATGAGGGGGTCCGTCTTTCAGTCTGGCTGGAAAGAGACCCACCCCTGCAATCCTCACCTTCTTCCTTCCTGACCCCACCACACCCCATGCTGTCCCAGGGTTAAGGGGGCGCGACTTTGTGACAGCTCCTGTCCCTGAGGTATCATGCCATCCTGATCCCCCCCAACCTTTGAAACACGCCAGTTAATTAGAGACAGACTGGGCCCTCTCCTCCCCCTTCACACTCCTGTGACACCGTCCCTTCCCCCATAAAATAGTACTTGTTCTGTCTACTTTGGGTGGGGGAAGTGTTTTGATTACATCTGAGGCCCAGTGCCCTGTGATGGCTGTCAGGCCACTGTCCCTCTTGTTCTCCCCACCTACCGCCAACCTCCCAAAGGTAAACTTTTGCCCAGGTGTTGACTGGGAGAAAACTGATAAAGAGTCTGAGTTCCTTTTAGAACTGGATGTCCAGACAGGAGGAAGACAGGCTTCTACCTGCCAGCTGGTGCTTGGAAAGGGGTCTTTTTTGTTTTCCAGGTAGGAGGAGTAGGGATATGTCCCTCCTTTTATTTTTCTGCCTGGCTTCCTGCCCTGGAGTTGCCATATTCCTGAAGTAACCCATCCCTACTGGGTCTGCTGAAGGCGAAACAGGCAGTGTGTGGAACCTCCCTCTGGGGCCACTTTGGGGAAGCATGGACTCTGGGTTTCCTAAGCATCCAGGATGCCTCCCCTAGATGAGGAGCTGGGAGCCAGGTGGCCACCCAGGTACTGCCTTGGGAAAAGGGGCGATTTTCTCTGGGAGCACCCAGGATCATGAGCTTAAGGTTGATCTATGAGGGAAACACCAAAAGGGCCCCCTGCTGTCTTATGTATGGCTCAGGCTTGGCTAGGTGCTGGCCTGAGAAAACCTGAAGTTCTTGGGTATGGAATATGTGAGGTAAGCCTGGCCTAGCTCTGAAGGATTCATAGCTACCACAGTGCTGAGCTCCCTGTGTCCCCCCTTGTTACCCTTGACCTACCTCCCAGGTGGGCAACTCTTTCTTTCCCAGTGCTTGTGGTTCTGCCTGTTCACTAAGCCTTCTTTTATGGTTTTCAAAACTTTAGTAATCATTTTTTCTAATTACAATTAAAGTTATTTCAAATACTGAGGAATATTATGTTTTATAGCTGGAATGTTAAGTGTGTAAAGACTTGGCTTCAGTTTGCCCTCAGGTATTTCTCATAGGTCTTCTCTGTGTCCTTCCCTGCTGGGTGCTGGAGGGCCTCTCAGTGAATGCCCTGGCCCAGGCTACGGCATGCATGAGTGCTGTGATGGGGACTTGTGTTAGAGGAGGGCTGAAGCTGGGGGTGGTCAGGGAAGCCCGTTATTCTGGGGGTGGAGTGGGGACCATAGTTGACTGCGGAAGAGAAACTGGCGCTTCAGGGGACCACAGATCCCTGTGGCTGGAACTGAGGGGTTAGAGTTGGGCAGGATCCCAGAGGGGCAGCAGGACCTGGGTCAGGGAAGACCTTGTAAGCTAAGCACAGTGACGGCCAATGAAGGCATTTAGCTGCTAAATGAAGTGAGCAGGTAAGGTTTTTCTGAAAAAGATCTCTCTGGGCTGCATTCCACTTATTAGGTTATGACTTTGAGCCCTTTGATCTTTTGAGAAATTGTTCCAATCCCAGAGATCGAGATATTGCGGCTACCAGATGTTCTTTCTAACAAGGAGTGGAGACAGCCAGCAAGAGTCGCACTACACAGTTGTTCTCAAACCAGCACCGGTAGGGCTGGTTAAAACAGATTGCCAGGACCACACACCAATCACAGTGGCTAATATCAAAAAGCCAAGAAATAACAAGTGTTGGTAAGGATGTGGAGAAAACAGAACCCTGGTACACTGTTGGTGGGAATGTGAAGTGGTGCACACACTGTGGAAAGCAGTATGGAGGTTGCTCAAAAAACTAAAAATAGAAATAGCATATGACCCAGTAATTCCACTTCTTATGTACCTGAAGAAAAGAAAACCACTAATTCAAATAGATAAATCCATTCCTATGTTTATTGCAGCATTATCTACAATAGCCAAGATAGGGAAGCAAACTAAGTGTCATTGATAGATGAATGGATAAAGAATATATGATATATATGTATACCATAAAATATTACTCAGCCATAGAAAAGAATGAAATCTTGCCATTTGGGACAACATGGAATGGACTAGAGGGTATTATGCTAAGTGAAATAAGTCAGACAGAGAAAGACAATTACCATATGATTTCACTTACAAGTGGAATTAAAACAAAACAAAACTAATAAACTAACAACAGAAACAGACTCATACAGAGAACAAAATTAACAGTTGTTAGAGGGTAGGGCAGGAACCCATAGGGCTGTTGAATGCCCCACTGGGTATCAGGCCCTTTGTTTTTAACATTGATCTACAGTGGTTTCCACAGGGGAGGGGAGGGTGGAGGCAGAATAGGTGAAAGGAATAAAAAGATACAGATTTCCAATTATAAACAAGTCATGGTCTTGAAAAGTCTAGCATAGGAATAGATGGGAACTGCACTTGTCCTGGTAAGCATTTAGCAATGTATATAATTGATGAGTCACTATGTTGAACACCTGAAATTGTATCAACAATGCTTCAATTAAAAAAAAAAGGCACACAGATTGCCAGGACCCATCCCCTGCAGTGCTCGATCCACCAAGCCTGGTGCAGGCCTAAGCATGTGCATTTCTAACAAGTTGCCCCATGATCTTTTGCTGCTTGACCTGAGACCACACTTAGAGGACCAGTGGCTTCTTAACTCTCCCTCTGGATCTTTGCTAGGAGCTGCTGCTGGATGCAGAAACTCCGCCCTCATCTCTGCCTCCTATGTAGTGCTTCCTCCTAATCCGGGACCAACACCCATCCCACACTTCTGGTCAGGCATTTAGGAGGCAGCCTGGTTTCCACATTACATCCAGCAAGGACAGCTTTTGGAAGTCGAGGCATACTGTAAATGCAGCCTTGAACACCCCTGAGCCTGCCTTCTGCCCTTCATCCCTGGATCCAGGAAAACTCACTTCTCACATCCCACTTAGTCTCAGGCCCAACTTCCTTTTAACAGTTGTTAGAGGATAGGGCAAGAACTCATAGGGCTGTTGAATGCCCCACTGGCTACCAGGCCCTTTGTTTGTAACATTGGTCCTGAGTGGAGAGTTTCTGTGACATGGAGGAGAAGCTGCTGTTCCACAAATCTCCATTCATGGCTTCCAGTGCTCCTGCCATTGCTTATCTCCTGCCTCCCACAGTCTCTGTCCCTCCCTCTGTCACACACTTAATCATCTTTCTGTTCTCTCATGTGAGTCCTGGGGCGTACATGCACGTTTCCTCAACCACCACTAGCATCCAGCCTTGGGCATTTCCCTTTTAGAATCATGTGCAAGAGGAACTGTGTTTTCATTTAGGCAACTTGATCCTGCACTTATTTTGTGCCCAGAGATCTCTCAGTATGAGGGTGAGCTAGGAGCAGAGGGAGATAAGGGTGTCAGTAGTCTCTGGCCTAAGCCTCTGGAGGAGATCGACACACATTGTCTTTTCATTGTTTGTTTCCCAGTGTTTTTGTCTTGGGGAGTTGATTGAGGTCCTCACCTAGAAGGCAGCTTTGAGCTGAATGTAGACATGGGAGTGGAATCCCAGTGCACGGGGAGGGGTGACAGCAGCCTGCAGTAGCACTTAACGTGTCAGGGCTGTATGTGTGCCCACATGTGTGTGTAAGTGTGTGCATACATGTATATGTGGGCATACATGTGTGTACGTGTATATACTAAAGCTCAATATGGAGTGTGTTCTTGGAATTTAGAGCTTTCTTGCAGTGGGCCTCACTTGGGGAATGGGAGATGACAATATGAGATAAGTGGGGGCTGAGTTTGGACCCCACAGTGGAGTTCTTAAAGACCACTGAGCCAGGAAAGAGATGGACTCAGCCATGGTTGAGGAGCATCAAGACTGTAAACAGCTGCCATAATCTGGGAGAGATGAGGTCAGAGTTAGGGGACAACTGCAATACAGTCCACATGAAAGACAAGGCCTGAGCTCCTGGGAAGAGAAAACAAAACTTTAGTAGGTAGAAATGTTATTCCTTCAGACTGTCTTTATAAAAAAGTAGTGATGACAAAGAAGCCAGTGACTTGGTAGGTCCCCTTTTGTGCAGCCAAACAGCTCTCATCCAGTTGTATTTTCTGCTGAAGTCTTGTTTCTTTTATCATAGTTGTAGTTAACTAAGAAAGTCAGGATGCATCATGACATCAGTTTCCTGAGTTTTGAATACATGCTAATGTGCACTAGCACTTTATATTTGTCAGCATCCACAGAGTTAAGTTAAATAAAATGTTTCCT